TGTATATTTTTCGCGGTTTTGATCTACACAGGTAGTTAGAAAGAGGCTGAGTGTGGTTTAGTTTAGCTTATCGAGGGAAATTGGCACGATTTTTTGCGTACCCTAGTTGCAACGTAAAATGGACTGCCGTGTATAGGGAAGCCATGCGGGTGGCAAGCATTCAAACAAGACTATAATATATGACAATTGGGGACGGAATTTCCAAGGTTGAAGTTAAATACCTCATTGCTCCGACTCATTTTCAAATATATATCTGTCAAGGTGTCTTTTCAAGCATTCCAGTGATGATTATATCACAAAATTCGTGGGGAGGGTATTTCAGGGCTTAACCACTCTGACAGCGAAGGAGAAGTTGCGCACATCTAACTGAACGCGCAGTTTCGTGGTAGCGAATTCAAAAACGTTCCCAAACGCCAGATAATAGTCCCGTCCCCGCACAACGCGAAATACCTGTAGGAGATCCCCACGAATTTGCCCATACCTCAAAGGTAACATGTTTAAGTTCATTGAGCGGGATGCATGCGGGGAGGGGCTTTGACTCTTAACCATTTTGGTGAACTCTTTCGAGACTAGTGTGATCCTAGGCTTAGTTGAAAGCCGGCGTGCAGCAGTGTATGAATTAACCGCGTACGGTAGTCCATGTTACTTGATAAGGTAAGGTCACGTCAATACTTTCTGCTTGTTTAAAATTACGTTTTAATAACTTGGTTTGAGGCTTGAAGATCTAGGAGAAATTTTTATGAGGCGGCCACACGGATCACCGAAATGCCAAAATTAGTCCTTTTATGTAATAGCACTTAATAAGAACGAATGTCTGACGGTAGATGGTATAAATTGCATGTACGCAGATCCTATTAGAAAGATAACCTCCGGACCAAAATATTTGTAAAGTCAGAGGGCAAGCAAGTTACTGTTGCTAGCATTTTGTATTTGGCCTAAAAGTATGTCCGGAACAAGGTATTTTTCATTCGTAAGACCACTTTTTTCATTAATTTCTTTCGCCGTACACTTCAACTAAATGGTCCATACACACTTATTCTGAAAAAAGTCACTAGTAGTTGAATTTTTGGTTATTATTTAGTCGCCGGTGACACGAATCGTCATGACCTGTTAGGCATTGACTAATTGCGTGGAACTCGGACTTGCGGTAAAGCTGACTCTCTATGCGATAGCCCTTTTCATTCACACCAATCTTGCTTTTCTGGATGTTTTTCTGTACTGTCCTTGTTTATTCAAAGAAGCCAATAGCTTGGTGTGCACTTTTTTCTGTTTGAATATATACCCGAGCTGCAGTGACAGCGAATGACAGGTGGCGAGGCACTTATGAACTTCGGTTCAGTGAATGGCTTATGACTCATCTGCTAGACCCAACCTGTGTGGACTATCTGCGGCACACTCGAGCGCATTTTTATGTACCTATTACTCGCTAGCAGGTGGGATTATCATTGGCTAAGTGAAAGCAGAATAAGGCCGAAAC